CCGGGAGGGGGAGGGCGGGAGCCCGGAGCGAGCGCCTGGGTGCCGGGCTGGGGGCGCCCGAACCGGGACGCTCGGGTGGAGTGCGCCGTGCCCCTCGCGGGGGGAGAGGGAGGCGTCCCGGAGGCTGGTCTGGGGTTTCAGGGCTCTCCCGGGTGGGTTCGCCGGCGTCTGGCTCTTTGTTGGCGCTCCTGTCTCCAAGGATCCCCACCCCAACACATAGGGTTCACTGGCTTCCCTTATTCTATATACCTGCTTCCCCTTCCAAACACCTTACATTCATCCACACCGTAATGGAACAGGCAAGATTCGGGGACTGGGTTCCTTGCTAGACGCTTAGGATGGCAGGATGATTAAACAAAGACGGCGGGGGGGGGGGGGAGAAGCAGGCCACCACCATTCATTCGTTTGGTAGATGTTTATTGCCCACCTATTATATCCCCGATCAACGAAAGGCCAGTGTTCATCTCCCCAGCGTAAGCTCTGAGGAGGCACTTCCCTGGCCTAATGTGGATGGCAGAGGTGGGGGGCAGTGCAAGGTGTTTGATCTTGGGGTATCCCTTTATCTTCACAGCCACAGTGTGAAACGAACACCACTGCCCTCTTAGTATAGTACCTGTTGGTCTGTAGGTTCAAGAAAATGACAGCTGGTTTCATGCAAACGCTACTCCCTTCGGAGGTTTACCTTTCTTTGATTTCTTCAGAATTTGCCAAAGCCTGTGACTTTTTTCATCTCCATCACATAATTTTTTCCCTGGTGGTTCCTCATGAATGGAATCCTCTCCCTCCCCCCTGCCCCCCACCCCCATGGAGGCAGAACTACACTTAATGGGTTAAATACACCACTTTACACATTGCAGCTCTACCCCACACTGTGGTCATTTGAGGACTATTTGCAGCACCGTTATTTGAGTAGCATGGTCTGTCTCTTCAAAGAGAGTAACTCAGTGATGGTTATCGGCCTTGGCCTGCATCCTGTAACTGGAGGATGTTCCCATGGTCAGATTTCAACTTGACACCTCAGGAGAAACATAGGTAAGTAATTCCACAGCCACAGCTGATCTATAGTTACTCCAAAGAACTTCTTGGGAAATTAAATTGTATAAGGATTCCCTGCTATCCTCTCAGACATGGTCCGGAATTTATTTACAAGAAAAATTCTAAGATACAAAGGCTGACATTGTTTTCTTCACAGAGGTAGAAAGGGGTCCAAAGACAGTAAATGACTTTGCAATCTGTGCGGGAAGTAAGGGTAGAGAGAGGTATGCTGGCTCTTCTGGTGGGATGGTGCAGTAGCCTCAAGCTTGATTGGAGAGTGTTATAATCCGGGCTGTCCCCAGCAGCCCATGTGTTAAAGGCTTAGTGCCTAGCATGGTGCTGGTGGAAACATTAAAAAGTAGGACTTTAGGGAGGAAATTAGGTTACTGGTGTCCTCCAAGATGACAATGGAAGGCTTTCTCTTCCTCTCCCCCTTTTCCTGGCTGCCATAGGTGAGCAACTTGCTCTAACACAGGTTCCCCACCATAATATGCTACCTTAACAAAGACCCAAAAGCAACACTGCCAATAAGTCATGGGCTATAAGCCAAAATAAACCTTTTTTTCTCTTTATAAATTAGTAGTAACAACTTTCCATTACAGTACAGAAATCTGACTAACACAAGGCAGAAGAGGCCACATTTCAAAGTAATTCAAAGGGAATTACTCATGAGCCTGAGGATTATGCACTGGGCTTGACTGTAGCTGGATGCCCACATGACGCCACTGGTACTCTTGCCCAGGCCCTAAAAAATGGCAAGCTCTTCCTAAAACAACAATAGCAACAGCAACAACAACAAAGCAATCATCTCAGTTTTGAGAACAGGGACTCTGGTCATTAAATGTCTTGACTTAGACATTGACTCAATGTCAAAAACCTAATCTATAAACTTTTCAAAACCTGGCCAGCCTTTAAATTTATCTTGTTCTTCTTACACTGTTATCATTTAAGCTTCTGTAATAATGTCTCACACATACTGGCTTCATCCTTCAGTCCAGCCTTCTGCAGTACACACATTCCTTTAGGGGTCAGGAAGAATGTATATGAAGAGACAGTGCCTTGAGCCAGGAATTAAGCATCTTGGAAAGAGATTAAGAGAGGAATATCCTGGACATTGTAGATGAGGGTCCTCCATTTACACATCTTCAAATCAATCTGAAACAGGAGGAAAGTATGTAGGAGTATTTTGATCTTATCCCTTGCTAAGACTAGCAACAAGCTCGAGGTGAGCTTTCATTGCTATTTTCTTTTGCTCTGGCTTCAACATACTCACCTTTCCTCCATCCTGAAAGATTTCTCCTGTTAATACCCTGGCTTTGGCCACATTGTCTCATTTCCTTTCCTTGTGAAATAGCTTACAGAGGTGCTCTAGATGTGCCAGACTCTTCTCTCTGGTTCCTTCCTGAGACCCAGGAGTCTGGCTTCCATACCTCCATACCCTTCATGACATCATCCAGGTTCTCTCACCTCAGCCCCTTTCTCCTCAGGAACCTCCCATCATTAACAACAGTGAATGTTCTATGGAAAAGTTGTCTTCCTTTGGAAATGTTTACCTTTCTTGGCCTGTGGCCTGTTAGGGCGCTCTCTCTCTCTCTCTCTCTCTCTCTCTCTCTCTCTCTCTCTCATGCAGGTACTGGGCATTGTCCCTGAGCTTCTTTTGAGCAAGGCTAATGCTCTACCACTTGAACCATAGCACCATTTCCATTAAATGTTGCTTTAATGTGTAGGTTTAAAAAAAAAGTCTTGTAAAGGCTAATTATTTTTCCTAGATATCAGGTTTGCAACTAGAATAAATACTACCAAATGATCACCTGTAACTACACAAGCAAATAGGCCATGGCTTGCCTAGATATGGACAGCTTCTGGTGACAGCATTGAGCTACTACATGTTTCTACTTACATTATTATTATATTAAAGATATATAATTCTGAAGATCATATAAGCACTCTTTTCCACTTAGTTTTAATTTTGTCAATCACAGGCAATCCAATATCCCCATTTGCAAAAGATTCAGGTATTTCCCAGGATGGAAGACACTGTGTGCTTAAAATCAGGTTTCCTTAAAACTAGAAAATGAGGGCTGGGAAGGTGGCTTAGTGGTAGAGTGCTTGCCTTGCATGAATGAGTCCTTGGGTTCGATTCCTCAGCACCACATAAGTAGATAAAGCTGGAAGTGGCGCTGTGGCTCAAGTGGTAGAGTGCTAGCCTTGAGCTGAAGAGCTGAGGGACAGCACCCAGGCCCAGAATTCAGGCCCCACGATTGGCAAAAAGCAAAACAAAACAAAATAAAAAAACTAGAAAATAAATACAGTTAGTTCACTTACTGGGTCTTTTCAGAGACCTTTACCTTGTTCTTCTTTCATCTTCATGAAATACAACACTTTCACTTGATTGAATAGCTTTAAACTTTCTATCTCTGACTTCCTTTATTTAGCTGCTTAGAGAAGACATTTGTGGGCTGGAGATTCTAAACAATTTTGTAATATGGAAACTACCTGTCTGGTCATGAAAGAAAATTTGGCAGTCCCTTAACCCTGCAAGCACAAAGGGTTGAGTTACAGTGCTTCATGAGAAAATAAACTTGAACTCTTCCTCAAGTTTGGAGATGTTTTGTTTTTAGCATGATGTGGAGTGAAGTTGCCCACATTTCTCCTCTCTTGTAATTTTATATCCTGCCAATAATTTGCTTTGAATGAGCAAAAATAACTGTGCTTCTTCCTATCCAGCTAAAGACAACTAAGAAACTCTCACCTCTGTGGTTTTGAGTAGGCCATGCCCTCCTTGGTTTAGCTATATAGAGTAGTGGGATTCAGGGAAAAAAACAGAAAAAGGAAAGGATGGGATATCCTTCTATAGGATTTGTAGACATCCCTCTAAAAGATTTCCTTTGTTCCAAAAAAGGGGGTTAGAAATAAGCCTTAAAAGGTAATATTGGGCCCATGCAGTAGCTCACAACTGTAATTCCAGCTACTTTGGAGGTGGAGAATTATAGTTCAAGGCCATCCCTGTCAAAAACTCAAGAGACATCATCTCAAATAGTACTTGAACATCATGGTTCATGCTCATCATCCCACCTATGTGGGAAGCAAAAATAGAAGAATTGTGGTCTAGGCTGGTACCAGCATAAACTGGAGACTCAGTCCCCAAAATAATTAAAACAAAAAGGGCTGAGGTCATGGCTCAAGTGGTATCATAGCAGCCTGGCAAGCACAAAGCCCTGAGTTCAAACCCAGGACTTAAAAAAATTATGACATCAACATGGCACTATTCACAATAGCTAAGATATAGAATAAATATAGGTGCCCATTAAAGGATGAATGGATAAAGAAAATATGGTACATGTGTACAATGGGAGATTTTCAGCCATAAAGAATCAAATCCTAT